TGCCTCCCTCTGTGCCCCGGCGCGGCTCAGCTCGGAGCGGCGCTGTGGCTAAAGGGCGGGTTGGAGCGCTGGAGCCCGCGAACGCGGTGCGGACGCTAAAACCTGTGCTTCTTAAAAAAGTGTAAAACACTGAACAATCGGTGCAGAGCGGCGGGGGGCGGAGGAAAGGCTCGGGTCTGTGCTGGCGCTCGGAAGTGACAAGATGCGGCCCCTGGCTCCTCCTGCCGGGAGGGAAACATTAACTTGTAGCTCTGCTGTCCTTTGGGGTGAAAGTGGCTAAAAAAAAGCACCTCGCGGAGCACAGCCCGCGGCTGCGCAGGCGAAAACGACAATGCAAATCCCTATTTTTACGGTCGATGCGTTTACACACCGGCCGTTCTCTGGAAATCCTGCGGCAGTTTGTCTACTTGAAAATGTAAGTTGAAGAAAAAAACCTGTTCCGTGAGGTACTGCTGTGACATTTACTGTTGTGTGCTTGGCCTGAACACTCAGCACTGCATTGCTTTCCTTTACTCGGGACTGCTGCTTGCAAAAGGTGTTTCCTGTTGCTCCAGAATACAGACAAATTAGTACAGGGCTACTCATTTTTCATCAGAAGGATGTAATGCACACTTTGTATTTTTTGTGGGCTTTAAAAAATATTTTTAAAGGAAAATATACTGAGTTAAGTGGGGAAGAAAGGCTCAATTTCTTAGGAACAGTTCAGATTGAAGGTTCTGAAGGTTTAACAAGGATTCAGAATGAAACCTCTGAAAGGTAATGCACTAACAGAATCAATGCTCAGTAGTTTTTGAATGAAGGATTAAAGTATGGACTTTGGTTTTGATGCAGGTTTTCTCCGTTTCTTTAATTCTGCCTCTTTCTCTCGAAAGAAAGAGAGGGAGTACAAACCTGGACCTGAGTTGTGCACAGTTAGTCAGGTTCAGCTTTAGCCAAGTTTAAACCGTTTTCAAAAGTTGGGTGGTTATTTTAGTGCAATTGACAGAAGTTATCCTCAGGGTGTAATGAACAGTTGGTACTAATTGGTACTGATTTCTACAAATTAATTATAGAACTGGATTAGAAATTTAAAGACCATATATTATTTGTATAGTTACTCCTGATGACAATTGTAAGAATGTGTGTAGACCAGGCAATGGTAATAGCTTGTACTAACAGCAAGAGTTCTAAGTTCCTAAGCATATTCCTAGGTGTCATACAATATTGCCTAAGGTCAACTCAAGATACGACTGAGAACATCTCACTTCAGAGGTGGTTTTGGCCCCATGACATCTAAATACTCTCAGAACCATCTCTATGTTAGTACCATGAGCTTCTGATTGAATTTTTTGTCTTAATTTTACTTCATTACATTAAGGTATTGTGAGGACTGCTGACTTGCATGATGCTTTTGGAATGCAGATGCTGTGAAGCTTTTTCTACAGTATCTCAAGGTGAAGGGTTTAGTGTCTGAGTTAAAACTAAAGTTCTAATTCAGCATTTATTCGAATCTTTCAGAAAATGTGGTGCAGCCAGCAGCAATGCTTCCGTTCTCTGCTTCCCTCAGGCTAAGCAGGTGCTTTAAAGAGCAAGTCCGGAGTCATGCAAGGGTGGGAAAACCAGCCCTTTGTGCTTGAGAGGTGCCACTGGGTGGCAATATTTCCGTGAAGTTCTGGTTTTGTTAATAACATTTTTAGTGCTCTGTGTTGGGGTTTAGGGTCTTTACAGTGATTCTTACTGTAAAATGTTAGAATGGTGTTTAATTGTGTAGAATTTCATTTGCAAGTACAGGTCTAATGTACATATCACCAATTGTCTGATATCTGTAGTATGGGATTATTGGCTGAAAAGGATTAAAGTTATTAAAGGAGATAATTGCAGTTAGGCAAAGTTTTATCTCCCACAGGTTGAGCCTGACCAGGTCCACTTAGTACTTTGTTTCATTTGTGTTTCAATGTTTTAAAAATCAGATTGCCAAATCTGGCCAGTCAGCATAGTTGTGGGGAAAGAGCAGTGGAACAAGGGCCAAGTGGGATGTTATGCAATTGCTGGTGCTCGTGTGTCTGGGATCAATGTTCTGCTTGGAATGGGCAGGCACATAGTGAGCTCCAGCAATTTTGCTTCGTTTTTTTTTCGAGTTTACCTCTTCTCAGCTCCTACTGAGTTCATGTGTTGTTCCCATCGTTTAAAGGGTAGTAGCCCTGAGTAGCCCTCAGGGCCCTTAGGGTTAGTCACCCATCTTGGCTGTTGCCAGCACTACACGTCTTGCTGGCAAGGGTTTTTCAGAGTGATAAAAGAAAAATTGTGGTTATTTTTAGATTATGTTAATAGTGACTTCTCAGTGTGACTTTAATTACAACTTAAGAGATTGTGTTCCTGGAAAGACACGAGTTTAAGTTTTTAGCTGATTTTATTTTCACATGGTTTATGAATTTCCAAGCTAATAGGACAGATACCAGAAATTCCTGTGTATCACAGTGGTTGAACTTGTTATCCCATTTTTTATGCTAATGAAATTACTGTATTTGACAGAAAGTTTGAGTCTGCATTTTGTGATGTGCTTTTGTTGTTTCATTGTTAGGACTTGGATGAAGGTTTGCACCAAAAAATCGCAACAGAAATGAACCTTTCAGAAACAGCTTTCATCAGAAAGCTGCACCCTGGAGATGATTTTACCAAAAGTGAGTGTTTCTGTTTACTCACCAAAGTAACTTAGGAGAGAACAGGAAGACACTGTGGGCACATTTATAAGGTGCTAGTGTGTAAGACAGCAAAACCAAATCTTGGACTCATGCTGTATCTTGCATATGATAGTAATAAGCCTTTTGCACCCGGATTCATGTATTTCTGCTCTGTCAAATTCATTTTACAATATGCAAACATTTATTATTCATGTATTAGACAATTTGAGTGGTTTTTACTGAATAAACATGTTGTATGTAGAAAATCTCATAAAAATGCTGTGAAAAGGTCTTTCAATTAATATTTTCTTTCCTATTTATAATATTCTGAGATAATTCCTTATTATACAAGCAGAAGAATCGAGATGGAACATGCTCATTCCATATGTACAGGACTACCAAGTGAGTAGAATCTGGCTTGGCTGTTCAGGGAATCATCACTGGAGTCATTGTAATGTTGTTTGAGTTTGTCACAAAATCTCATAAGATGTCTGTGGAGCCAGTACTGGAAAATACAGGTTTCCAGCAAAAACCGGGAAATCTGAAGTGGCCCAAACCAAACCCTGGTGCTTGTCAGTGGGGCATGTATATATGAAGGGAGGAGAAATGGAGAGATGCTAGGCAAGATAGAAAACATCAGACAAATGCAAACTTCATTCAGAATCACTTTTTGGATTATTTCTCAGCTGAATCAGTTTAGTCTGCTCACTTTGCAGCCATGTGATGGCATGAGCCAAGGGACTGGAACCCCACTGACCTGGAGTTAGGTTCCAGCTTAGGGCATCATGTTTATCATCTTTGTCATTTGATTGATTGCTCAGGGAGTAGGATTTTCTACAGTCTGTAATTAAAAATATTAAGGATCGCATTAGCTATAATTGTTTACTCCTATTAATAAATTGGAGTTTGTTGCTCGAAGCAAGAAGTGATAATACATTTAATTTTTCATGTTAACACCTTGCCAACATGTTTAACACATTTTCAAGTCAAGCATCTCTAAAAGCACATCTCACCTGCTCTTTTATCATTAAAGTGCTTTTGATACTAATGGGACTCGTTTGTGACATCAGACCCACACAGCTGACAAAGAGGTGCACAGTTCTTTCACAGGAATTCAGTCGCTGAGCTGCACCTGAGGGCTGTGTGTATTGAGTGGCAGTGGGAACAAAAGGAGACCAGAAACATCACAATGTCATTTATCATCTGTGTCTGGAACATTGATTGGTGTAATGTGGGCTCCTGGACACGGAGTGTGTGTTTGTAGGAGTTTGTGATCAGTACATTTCATTCAATTTTAATTAAAGGAAAAAACCAGAACAACCAACTACATTATTTTCGGGATACATTAATTTATAAGAGTACAAAATGACTTCTTAGTGCGAGTGCAGGTGACTGTGTCAAGCAGCCAGGCAGGTGTTCTGGGTCACAGCTGCCTGTCTCTGCCTGGGCCTGGCTGACTCGGTGTCCTCCTGCCTGCAGCTCCAGTTTGGGTGGGGCAGTGCAGCCTCACCGCTGTGTTCCTGGGGCAGCCCCGAGCCCCTGAGGTTCAGCCACAAGGTTTTGCTGGGATTCTGTGTTCCCCTTAGCTAGAGGGCTGGCTTTAATGCACTGATTTTCACAGGGGCAATGACAAGACTTGTTTGGACTTTTTAAAAGACATTGTTTCTTTTGAATGCTTTAGTTGCATTTGTATGATAATTATTAACTTGAAATACATGTGCAAAAGCTGTAGGAAACCAGGTATTGTACACTTGGGCTCCAAATTTAAACAACAAGCAAAAATACGATTTCTAGTGAAGTGAAGGGTTAGTGTACATCAGATACTTTTCCCAGACTGGACTGGCAGTTTAAGCAAAATAATTGATATCTGTCCTAGTTCCAATATGGGTTCTATTATACCAGCAAAACTATCTTTAACCCCTAAGGGTAGCCCAGTGCACAGGTGTACAGAGATCACAATCATGCCTTTGTGGGATTCCATTATACACAAGGACATGGAGGCTGTATCTTTTAAATTCCCTCTTTTATTACAGGTTACCACAAATGCCACAAAAATCACAACTTACAAGCACACTTATGATTAGTAAAGTGAATATGTATTACACTATTACAATTAACCCCTAAGGGTAGCCCAGTGCACAGGTGTACAGAGATCACAATCATGCCTTTGTGGGATTCCATTATACACAAGGACATGGAGGCTGTATCTTTTAAATTCCCTCTTTTATTACAGGTTACCACAAATGCCACAAAAATCACAACTTACAAGCACACTTATGATTAGTAAAGTGAATATGTATTACACTATTACAAATTATTATCACTATAGTACAGCTGGAATCAATAATAGCAGCAAGTGTATATCACTACTCAATAATGAAACTTATCAATAATATGGCAGTAGGTGTACTTACATTGCAGACCAAACCAAGCTCAGAAGTGTGTTCAGAGGGGACCCAGTACAAGAATAAGAGTGTCACTTCAAAGATGGTCTGTGTCCTGGAATTTGGAGTCAGCTGTGTGTCCCTGGCAAGGGTCCATGGTCTCATAGAGAGTTTATGCAGACTTGTTTAGGAAAAAGAAAAATCTACAGTATGGAAAGTTCTTAGAGCACAAAGCTCCATTTTGAGTAAAAATTAAGTCACTTTTATATTGTAGAGACATAAGAGAGCCACTTCAAGAAGCCAATAGATGCTGTTAATTTCTATTTCTCACCTGAAACAGCCAATGGATGATGTTTTCTGTTCTTTCACACCAGTTTTTATTTTTCCAGGCTGTTTTCCTTGTTCTTTCTGTTCGAATGTCCGGTGGCAGTTACCGTTTCTTTCTTTCTCAGTTTGTTTTCCAGTTTCTTCAGACTATTTTTCACCTCTTCGGGTGATAAGTTACAAACTAAGGCTGTTACAGTTTGTTGGATTTGTGCTCACCAATGATAACTTGGCTGTCTCTGGTTTCTAGCTGCCCAGCAGCACTGCAGAGGTCCTGGCTGTGTACCTCAAGGACGCTTCTGATTCCTGGGCTGGAAGGTGTTCCTGCTCAGCAGCTCCTTTATTAGGAGGTGCCAGTTGTTGACCTGACTCAAAAGTGATTCCAAAAATCAGTACAAAATGAGTTCCTAAAAGTATGTTTCAGAGTGATTATAGCATGTATTTTGATAACTGAAATGTAACGGCTGTATATAAAGTGTTGAGATAAGCTGAATAAATAGACTTCTTCCACAATAACATTTACATAAACTTTATTTTCAAGGTTCTTGCTTTGGACTCAGATGGTTCACCCCAGCCAATGAAGTTCCTCTCTGTGGTCATGCTACACTTGCATCAGCTGCTGTGTTGTTTCATGTACAAAGTAAGTTTACAAACTATGTATGACTCTAACTTTTAGGAAATTTGTTTCTAATTAAGATCTCTGTTTTCTACAATGAAGGCATTTAAATATTCAGAACATGTAGAGACCACCTCTGGAGATACCTCAGGTATTGTCTGTTACAACTGCTCTGTAATTATAAGGCTCTAGGCTGATGCCTACATTTGGATTTCAATGCCCTACTCTTGCTCTTGTTTAAGAAGAGTGTTAAGTATGCAGTTATCATCTGGGAGAGGTACAGTAGAATTTGATAAATAGAGAATATTGCTCTCTCTGTTAAAAGGAACTTCCCATTCATTTTAGGAACATGCAGGAAAGATCCCCTGACAATTGCCGTATTTATTAGCATCAGCAGAATGTTCATTGTGTTAGTTGGGAAGTTTGTCTCAGCATATAGGCTTTGAGCTTTTAGCTTTTTCTGAATATACTGAGTGTGCTGGTTTGAAAGCAAACTCCAAGTCAGAAATACAATTTAATAGGAAAAACAAAACAATAAATGCAACAGTACAAAAAAGAAACTACTGACAGAGTCAGAAAGCAACCTGACACCCTGTCAGTCAGGGTGTTGGGTAGTAGTCTGATGAAATGGTGGCTGCAGTCCTCCTGGAGTGATGGCTCTGTTGGAGCAGTGATCCTGTAGATCTGCTCTTCCCCTGAAGGTCCAGTGGCAGCTCTTGTCCTCTGGGAATGCAGTAGGTAAGGGCTCTCTGCTAGTCCGAACCCCAGATTATATCCGTGTGGGAATGCTTGGCTCTCCTCTTGGGGTGAAGCATCTCCCAATGGGAGGATGTAATTCTGTGGGTCCCTGACAGCCCATTGAACACAGACAGCCCCTGAGGGAGCCAGCAGGGATGAGCAGCAGATAATGAGCTCTGCCTCACCTGCTTTAACAGCTTGTGGAGATGATAATAGAATACACACTATTAGTTGCACCCTACATTGTAACCTAGGACACTGAGTTACTCCAAGAGCTACAATAATTTAGATTCAGATTCTTATGTTTGATAATGCTGCAATGTTCTCTCTCTAGAAAATACAAATTCAGTTCTCACATTTGTGACACTGAGTGGGGAATTAAAAGCCAGACAAATGAAAGATCATATTGTCCTGGACTTGCCACTTTACACGACGTACCCACAGGTCAGTCAACATTTTATTAGAGAAAAGCTTTCAAGGAAAGTATATGTTGATGTTTGTATGTGTATGTAAGCATGCATACATATATATTCCGTTCTTTACAATGTGGGGTTTTTTTTTGTCTCAGGTCCTTCAGGAAGTAGAAGAATTAATAAAGGTAAAAAAATCTCTGTGTTGTCTTAAAAGCACTTTTATCATAGTTCTACTTATTTTTATATATTAAAATGGCTGAAAAGTGACAACAAGGCACTGCTTGGTGTACTCCTGAACTTGAAACACCAAACTTCAGATGTCTAAGTCATGACTCAGTAGGTCAGGAAAAGGAATTCTCCAGTGATTCAGCTGAACTTGTGTCTGCCACTGTCATTGACTGGAGTGTTAGTACTTATTTCAGTGGCATTTTTCAGCCTTTTGTGTGCATGTGAGCGCAGTCTAGTATCCTTGCCCTCTTAGAAGAGGGTTCCTAGTTTTCCTTCTATGTTGACATATATGAAACTCTTAATACCTACCCACATTCCCATCCATGCACTTAATGCATTTGCTTTTCTTGCTTGCATGTACTTGAGGGCTGCATGAAACACCTTACATAAGCCCTGTTCAAGCAGGGAATGTGTTCTACAAAATTGTTAAGGAAATGGTATTTCATATTCAAGTGATGATGTTTTTCCTTGTCTCTTTTTTGTTTCCACCAGGCAGCTGTTGGTGACATGGTTGTTCAAGATCTTCGGTATTCGCCTGACACAAAGAAGCTGTTAGTCCGCCTCAGTGATACTTATGAAAGGTGTCGTAGACTTTTTTGTTAAATGAAGTGTGTAGAAACTGAGTTTGCTTGTTTAATATCCGCTCCTTACAGGTATTAACTAGAAAACAGGCTCTGTTATCTTGTTTTAAATCAGGTGAAGGTTAAAACTCCAATTGAAATTTCTATGTTAAATTGGTATGTGCACTTACTGAACCTGCAAAGCTGAGTAAGATCAGTCTGAAATCTGTCTCCAAGAAAAGGTGGTGTTGGAAAGAGTTTTAACAATGGAGTATTTTCCACATTCATCAGAGTCTAAAATGATGGAGTAACCTAGCAGGAAGTCAGCAGTCCTGCTTCTAGACAGGGCACATTGACACAGTGTCAGGGATTCTTACTCCTGTTTGCCTGTAATCTGCTTGTGCATGCTTAACACATCATAAGTGGCTTTAAATACAAAATTCCAGTTCACGTTGTTCCAAAGCATTTGTTGATCTCAGAGAGCTGAATTTCATTTTCGGTTCAAGTGTGAGATATATATTGCTGAAACACAACTGCATTAATCAGGCCAAATTACAGTTACTGCATACTTGAGGCTTGGCCTAACTATGTTTAAAGATTGGGCTAGTGGGGAGCTAGAAATAACCTCAGCTGAGCACTTATATTTTTACTCTGTTACACTTGATTTTGTAGGTAGGTGTTGTCGTAGGCTGCTTTAGAGTGCTATGAATGGTGTTAGTTGTCTGCTTGCCCTGAAAGGATGTGGAGTATGTATTCTGTGCATTCTGTAGTGTTGAAATATATCTTTCAGTTACTAATATGTTGAAACAAAAGTGTGCTTGTTCTTTCTTGTAGCTAGTGCTCCAGGATGCTTTGTTTTTAGAAATAAATAGGAAATGCATCACTTGAGCTTTTTCCTCTGCTCAGAGTGTGTTATATTCAGGGTGGTTTTCTGTCAAGTGGCATTGGGAGGGCAATGCTAGGAGTCTTGTCTCCCCTGATATTTTAACGTGGCTGTTTTGGATTTGTCGAGAAGATGATTTTTCAGTTTTATTTTTCTTTTTAATACTTAAATTCATGTAAAACAAAGAATATGAGCTATTGAAATATTGTATTCAAGGTCTGTGTTGGAAGAACTGAAAGTGAGTGCACAACACTTCTTGTCAGCTGAAAAGACTGGGAAGGTGAAAGGACTCATACTCACCCTTAAGGGAAATTCCAGTGGAAAAGGCCATGATTTTTACTCCAGATATTTTGCACCTTGGTATGGAGTTCTGGAAGATCCAGTTACAGGTATGTGTTTGTGTGATAAGTGACTCTTACTCCTTTTTCAGTTTAATTAAAAGGTTCTTATTAAACTCCACAAATCTGTTGTTGTACTTTGGAGTCTCTCTGATAAATGACTGTTTTATATGGATGGCAGGAATGTGCTCATTAAACTGAAAACTTTCATGACTGATGCCAGCTCACTCAGAAAAAGTCAAATCAGCTTCTTGCTGTAATTAGGCCAAATATTCCTGCTAAAGTATCGTAATTGGTACTATTTGTCATTCCTACCAGTTGTGGCTAATGATGAAGCCCTCACCTACGCAAAATTTCCTTTGAAACCAGAGGATGAGGAAACAATACTGCTTTACCATAAATAATTGAAATTAAAAAGCCTTAAGTTCTGTCTGTTGTGCAAGTGCTCAGATTTTTTTTTTTTGTCCTAAACACACATGGCACTTGATTTATGACATTTACATTTTGACTATGCTTGCTTTATAAAGTAGTGGTTCTAATTTAATTTTGTACTTTGTTTTCTTCTAAGGATCTGCCCATGCTGTTTTGAGCAGCTACTGGTCAGAGCAGCTGGGGAAGAAAGAAATGCTTGGTAAGAGAAACTTTTCTTGCAAAGTTTCCCATTAATGTAAATCTACTCACTAGAAAGGAAAAGGTTATATTGTTATTACAATCCAAACTGTAGGGATAACTCCCTGTGCAGTTTCTCCATGCGAATAGAACATTACGTAGTAACCTCAAAGAGGTAATCTTTGAGGAATTGCTTTCTTTCCTGCCCACCAACATGACACATCATGCCTGCAAGGGAGTTTGGGGTGTTGGTTTCTGGGTTTAACTCTCTGCAGTTAGTGTTTGATCTTGACTTCTGGATTTTAGTTCTCATGACCTTTCAGCGTAACTGAAGGTTGGTGAACCTCAGGTGATGTTGTTTGTGTTTTGATTGAATTTTACTTTACTGCTTGGTCTTCATGGATTTCATTTTGGGTATCGGTTACTTTTCAGTACAATTTGAGCAGTGTTTTCCTTTCCCTTCATGTATGTTAAGGTGAGACTAAAACAACTAATGATTTCCACCTGATTTTGGAATATTGAGAATTGCTCCAGATGAATCCTTTCAGTGACTTACTTAGGAAACTTAGGGTTTAGAATAGCTAGTGTTGTTATGATTAGATGTGAAGACATGATGTATTTTTAATATATATTTTAATCTGTGTAGGTATAAAGGTAGTTTTGCTCAGGATTATGAACATTGATGTGGTGGCAAGGAAGGAGATAAGAAGTAATTGTGACTTAGATTACAGGAACAGAAAGAATGTGACTGACCTTCATTTGTGATTTTGCTTGCAGTCTTACTTTTAAGTGATTAAGCCTTAAAGGAACCTGAGATGACCTCTTAAATCAAAGAAGAGATTTACTGGTATTCTTTCAGTCATTGAGATAGGCTTATTAGATCATATAGATGTTGTTAATCAAGAAACTCCAGAACCTGGTGGGGAAAAGAAAACCAAGAGAAACTGTTAATACATGACAACATAGATAAAGAGATTTGGGTGTCTCTTTACTTCTCATGTTTCTAGTGCTTTGCCAGATAACAGAAGAACAAGAGAAGCAAAACAAAACACCCTTATCTGTGCCTGGTTCCCTGAGAGGGGGCAGAGCATTCCAGTTCTGTGCACAGCCTTTGGTAACATCTAGTTCAGAACAGAGATTGGATAGGTGAACTAATGAAGTTCTTTGTCCATAGAAGTAAACACTGTTCCAAACAAACAGCTATATAAGCCTTTCCTGTATTTGGTCAAATGAATCTCAGAATGGATTTTCTTGAGGATGTTAAGACTTTAAAGGATCCACAATGACCAAGACCACCTCCATCATGGACTGAAGGAAAGGTTTAACATTCTGTTCCCCAGATCGTATATTTGCACCACACAAATCTGTGATAGTTTTCACAATGATGGGGGGAAAGAAGTCTTACCATACTTTCTGAAGAGGAGAAACTGGCTTTGGTAGTGCATGCTTATGGACTGGCTGTTTGTCAGATTTTGACATTTTTGGGTGTTAGTGTGGAATTTGAACTCTTTCGTGCCATCTGTAGACACTACTTTAAGTACTCAAACACATAGGAATGCTGTCTGTACTTTTATTTGACACTTTCCACCTGTTTTTCATTTTCATGTATTTTGTATATACTGTCTCATTTCCCCTTTTAGAGAAACTATCTCAAGCAGCAAAGATAGTTGATACTGTAATTAGCTTCTCTAATGTGTTTAGCACAAAGGAAAAAGTCCTGTCTTTCCATAAGATAGGGTTTTTTGATGTTTTGTTTTTGTTTTATTCATGTATGCATATGTGATAGAAATCATACAAACCAGATTTAAACAGAACAGGTTAATTTGGTGTCCTGTCCACATGTGCTCTCAGTGCGTATTTATGTAGTACTGGGGTGAATTCTATTACTAATGGGTTTAGTTGGAAGGGATGGTAGACATTCAAGATGGTTCCATATCACCAAAGATAAATAAGTAAGAGCATCTTTTGACTTTTTAGAAACCTCTGTGGTTGCTTCTGTAATATGTGATACTTTTTATTGCCAGAATAAAGGAAGATTTTCTTCCATAAAATGGAAGATCTGCTTGTTCGCTGATAGATGGCATATGAAGTAACATAAAAAAGAGGAACATTAAATCTGTTGTCAGATCTCTCTGGCTGTTGTGACCTCTAGGAGGAGGTCAGCTGCATCTCTGCTGAAGCATGAGACTGAATTTCCTGTGTTTGGGTTCTCTTCCTACTATTATTAGACCAGATTGTCAAACAACAACCACCTTCATCAAATACATACAGAATTATCTAGTAATTTTACAAGGTGAAATATTTTATGATCATTCTTGAAACTATGTATGTGTCCTTGAATTTAAGCTGATGGGTCAATCAGGGTTCAGTATCAGTCCTTGCCTTTCTTTCATTTGGGAAGTCTCTGAAATATTTAAAAATTATACTCTCTCATATGAGATGCATAGACTTTCATCGTTTCTGACGAGTGCAGTGTCTAGAAAGTGTCTGTGTGTTCAGCCTTTCACATGGTTTTCACATTTCTAAGGTAGCATAAACATGCATAAGGAATTTCATATAATCAAGCAGATTAGAGAAGACTTCCCAAATTATTTTGATGTAAAAGGGCTTATCCAGGTCAATTTTTCATCTCCGGTGAAGCTAGAGGAATCATGCTGTACCTGTGTATTTCAGACAACTGTATTAATTTGTGGGGAAGTTTGGGGTTTTTTTACTGCCTTTTAACTTCTCTGATTCCTTCCCAGTACAGGACAGGTTTATAGTATTTGAGGGTTGGTTTGGGGTTTTTTTCAAGAGGAGGAACCAAATAAAAACCACCACCAAACAATACCATCAACAGCAAACCACAAAAAATCCTCAGAATTTGCTTTATTAAGGTAGAATAAATCTACCTGTATTTAAGTTTTTGCTAATTTAAATTCTCATGAAGTCAAGTGTTTGGCAGAGTTGTAATCACAGCTTTCACCTTTCCCAAGTACTCTCTACACATAGATTGACAGCATCAGATTTATATATCAGTGTAACATTTCTGCTAAAGGTGAGGTGTTTCCCTCCATCAGTCACCAGATTTAGCCAGCTTCTTTCTTGGAATAAAAATGGTCCTGGAGATCTTAACTTCACTTATGTTAAGGACCAGGTACTTCTTTCATCATTCCTTTACAGGGCTTAGGAAGTCAACCAAAATCCTAGTGATTTCTTAAAACAGATGCTATTACAAGAGTGGCACTTGTTCCTGAGTTGAAGTCATTATGATGACATGATGAAGAAAATCCATTACTCCTGTAATTGCTTCTATAAGCAAAGGTCATTTATATACATATGTGGAGAGAAAGCTCCTCCAAACCACAGAATGCTATTAGTCCAAGGCCCCTGGCTGCCATGTGGATGCAGCAGTGTGTAAGTCTGTGCTCTCACATCATTGTGCCTCAGGTTAAACACAGAGGAATTCGGGACACATTTAGCAGTTATATATTGTTTCTACAGATCAGATGGTACATACTTGCTTTGTAGAAGATACATATAAAATCTGTAGTATGTGGTATTCCTAGGAAGTGCAGACTTGTAATAGATGTGCAACAGCTTTGTGATCCAGAATGTGAGTGTACATCAGAAACACTTGAATATCTTCAGAGGCATTGCTATTCAATTAAATCCTCTAGTTACTGGCATGTTCCATGAAGGTCTGTTTGCTCTCAGGCATAGTGTAAGATGTCACGGCTTCTCTGTAAAAGAAAGAACAGATAAAGTAGTACTGTCACATAAGCTTGGCTCGAACTTCCATTTGTGGGTTATTTTTTGCTTTGTCTTCTATTTTGGAAATGTCTTTAAAAGTCAAATAAAGTGGACTTGTATCAAAACCATTTCAGTAGTCCTGCCAGGAAACAGCCAGTACTGGCTGCACTTTTAAAGGAAGAAAAAGAACCCCAACTAAGCTCTGAGAATCTCTTCTATCTAAGTCTGCTGTCACGAGGGAGTGGGAGAGCTTAGCTGTGTGTCCACACTTGGCAATAATAACTGGTCAAATTTAGCATGGTCTGGATCTTCAAGAGTCAAAACTATTCAATCGAAGGCACTACTCCATCGTAGATGGTGTTCTGGCAAGTTAAAAACAATAAACTTTCATTCTATAAATGAAAGAACAGAAAGTATCAGTATCAACCTTTGTATAGCTCCTGTTTTCACCCTTTTAGAGTGTTTGCTTTGTCTGAGAATTTAGTGTCCTGTTTTAAGAAGACCTTACTTATCAGCACTGGCTGAGAATTGGTTTTAAAGCGTGCAGCATGTATGCCATCTGTTGGAGAGCCTGTGCTCTGTTGGGATCGGAATGCTGTCTCCACCCAGTTTACAAGTGGTGGGTTTGAGAGGAAAAATATGCCTTTTATCTTTGAATAGCTTCTGATTTAATTGCATCTTCATCCATTTATAGCCTTTTAGAAAAGCAACACTACAGGAGACTCAAATCTTTGCTAAATGCCATCTGAACCAGACCATTTCCTGGTCAAGTAGTTGTGCAACTAAACTTGGACTATTGGAACAAGTTACAGGCTCGACATGCTAAGTGAACATTATCATCCCAGTTGTGCATGACTAAACAGTTTAGGCAAATGCTTAGTTCTGTAATTAGCTACAAGTGGAAGACTGTTTCTACTTAAACTTGATCCAGTTGTATTGAATTATGTATTCGGGATTCTTTAAAGCAATAGCTGTGCCTGTCTGAGAATTGGGTGCCAGTTTGTGACAGCTGAAGCAGCATTTCTGTTTCTTTGTAGACTTTCCACTGCCTGTGTGAGTTTTATTTATCCCTTAGCCAGACACATTCTGTGAATGTTCAGTGCCAGTAAAGTGGCTCTTCATTCTCATGGAGATAATACTTGGTGTTCTTCATTCTTCCCTCCAGAAACTGTGTCCCATGAAGGGAGAATTCAAGATTTCTTAGATACACAAAGGAAAATTAGTTGTCTATGGCACAACAAACTGTTCTTCACTATTCGTGTTAACTAGCAGTTTTGTCAGATTCAGTAGACAGGTTGTAGCAGAAACAGACCCTCAGCTAATCTTCACCCTTCAAGAGAATTCATCCAGGGTGTCCCTGGTACAGTGTTGCCCTGGTGCTGCTTGCTTTCTGGAGACACAGGCCTCATTTCCCTGAGTTTTCATGTGCTTCTAAATAATTTGTGATCAACAGTAGGTCTTTAACTGTGGATTCTTGTTTCCATTCAGCTTTTCAGTGTTCCTGTCGTGGAGGAGAGTTGAAGATTTCTGTGCGGGGTGACGGAAGAGTTGACATTGCAGGGCAAACTGCTGTTGTATTGAAAGGAAACCTGACTTTCTGAAGAAATTGTCGCTCCTCTCCCACACTTTGATATTGCTCATGTTACACTGATTGTATCCAAGCTCTAGGCAGTGAATCATCACTGTCCTCAAGAGTCTTTGAGTACTTATTGCCTGGTTTTAAAAATTGCTTGAAAATACTGTCTTGTGATCTTTGAGATCCTTGGTATTGCTTTCTTCACTTTCATCTCACCACTTCATATGTACGCTGACCTCAGAAAATGTCCAAGCGCAGCTGTCATGTTTTTCTGCTTTTACACGATGCATTTCTTTGTTTCCAAATTCCATGATAAAAGCTGTTCCTGCTTCCTGGAGTGAACTGTAAACATCTCTGATTGATAAAATAATCAGGCTTTTCCCATAGTCGTCATTTTCTGCTAAATCTGACTTCATTTCTTTAAAACAAATCTTTTCTCTGCCACATTTTGAAAGGACACTCATATGTCCATTAATTTACTCGAGTTAGAACATTTAAAGATAGAGACAGTTTAGAAGTGTGCCTTGTGGTTCTCCTTTATGAACAGTGTTTTTCAAAGATGAGTGGCATGGTCTGGGCTCATAGCCGTGCTGCAGAGTTTTTTTTAGCAGAAAGATTGGCACGGTGATGCATATAAAACTGATTAAAATCTGAAAGAAAACTTTATTGATTACAGCAATGTCATTTACTTTACAAGGTCTGAAGATTTTCTCCTAAATTGAAAGTTTCTTCTGGAATTTGCTTCATGAATGGACTGTTTCAGACTTTGTCACCACATGGCCTTTCACTAGGTTTAGTCAGGAATATTGAACTGTTTCAGTTACTCCAGCTAAAGCTCTGTTCATCCTTTCGAATCACTTTTGTCTCAAACTTTGCTTTAGTTCTTTCTCTTTGCAGAATTTCAGGAGAAAGTTTTGAACTCAAAGGCATTTTCATACTGTGAGAACAGATATGGATGTCAGCCCTTTCTAAATGACGGGGAACTTAGTTGTGCCAAGTTCCCTTTATTTCCATTTATTTTGAATTTTATCATAGCTTGTAGCTTATATCTCGCTTAAGTCCAAGTAACAGGAGACAAGAAACAGTCTGAGAATCTTAGGCTTCGTTTGAAATAAAAGTTTCTGTCTCCTGTGGTTACACAGAACATACAAAAAATGTGGCTGAAATGCACAACTGAGCTCAAGGGCTAAGTGGCACGCAAAGGGAGTCTCCAGCTGG